AGACAACTCAACAAGTCGTTATGTCAATTCTGGTCTAGCATCATCTTATTGTCTCGTCTAGACGTGATCAACTTCTTCTCTCTGGTTTATATCACATTTAATACAATGTCCGACCTTAAAACTTGTACATTTAATCTACACTATATTCAATCGTATCGTGATGTGGTTCTCCCTTGTCAGTGATGCAGGACGGAGGGGCTGACAAGGAAAGCTGTCTAGTCGTTCGGATGGGACGAAAAACCGAGGTCCCGTGTACACATTGGCGTGCACGTAAAAGATCCCTTGACAGTTGGAATTCGATATAAGAGTAGGCCATAGTGCCGCTGTCTGGGCAAAATTTCCCTCATAGCACACTGTATGGCGTATGCCCGTCTTCATTAGCCCAGTTCGGAGCAAAACAGTAGGACGTTAAACCCCATTTCATTTCATCGTTTGTCTCTGTAATGTAGAAATATAGTCGTGTAGGAGGCAGTATGTGCTCACCCCTTTTACAACACTCAATACATTTATTTGGAAGTTTTCAGATCAGCGAAAAGAATTTTCTCATCGAATTTTAACACTTTTTGCTAATGATTTTCTAATGATTTGTCTATAGAGCTCAAGCACTGTGCATCAATTGACAGTTTTTAAACAGAATCTTAAAACCCATCTTTTTAGAAGCGTTTTCTTTTAACTGTTTTCTTTTAACTGTTGATCGCGTACTCCTTTTAACTAGGGTTTTTCTTTTAACTGACCATAATGTTATCAAAGAGCAGCTTCGGTTGTATTTTAGGACATTATTATTGTTATCATTATTAATTTCCTCCTAGCATTGTTGTCCTTGCTCACTTTGTAGACTCCCGTGAAGGTTCTAGCAGCAACTGTTCTCATCTGATCTGCTTGAAATGTACATGCATTGTTCATATTAGTGAGACAAAAAGTCTGTATATTGTCAAATATTGCGGTTAAATACTTCTTCTTCTAGCGACACAAGTTATCATCCTATCTGATTTACAAAAATGGGCATCTATATACATGTACACATATTTGTGACTGTCTTGTGTTTGTCTGTGTTCGAGGTTGGTGGCTACACTAGGGCTGTCCCAGGGCTGAAATTTGGGGTATCAGGATAGCTCGAGCTGGGGAGTGATATACTACTAGGACATATTCTTTAAACAAAGACACCTATCGAAGTTCAATAATATTGTAGTTAATTACTTCAAGAGTTCTTCGGATGAGACGAAAACCCGAGGTCTCGTGTATACATTAGAATGCACGTAAAAGATCCCTTGGCAGTTGGAATTCGATATAAGAGTAGGCGATAGTGCCGCTGCCCGGGCAAAATTTCTCTCTTAGCGCACTGTATGGCGTGTGCTCGTCTTCATTAGCCCAGTATAGGAGCAGAACAGTACTAGGTTAAACCCCATTTCATTTTATTTACTTCAAGAGTTATCGTCTTTTGCTCACTCTGTAGAAAATTGTAAGCTTTAACCCCGAAATTCTTGTCATCTATCTACTTCAAATTCGTGTTATTTGCTGTTTTGTATTTTTAAAAATCCTAATCTCATCAGATTATATTGCTTGTAGCGTTGTTTGATTCATAAAAAAGGAATTAATTTACCTCTTCTCCATAATGCCTTATGTACGATGAACCGACTGTACCAGCTGTACCGTACTCAACCGTATAAGCTTGCTTAAAGATGCATTATTCAAAGTTTCATCTGCCTAGTGCATATCTTTCGTTTGGCTTAAAATGTTATATAAATCATTAATTAGACATTTATTTACTGTCAGGCCCATAAGCAACTCTCTAGAACTTCCGATGGTTTTGAATTGAACAGATTTAAATACGATTGACAGTTAATGATTTGATTTAAAAATGGATAATCGAGATTTCGTTTTTTTATCGTAACAACGTAGCAATGACAATCGAGACTACACTTTTCTGCAAATGACGATAACTTCGCTCGGTATGAAGTAACTTAACTGAAATATTCAACATATTCCCTTTTCATTATCTATTTTTTTTTTACCTAGTATGGCAAGGCCCGCCAGCTCTTCATCTAACTCTTCATAATCCGTCGTTAAATTCTTCATCTTATCTATTTGCAAAATAAACATATGGTAATCTAGATTAGGGTACGTTTTAATCAAGAAAATGTTTGTCATTCGAAAATATGAGCTGTCTTGTAGAGTAGGCCGAAGTAAACTGTCTGACCGAACCAAAATTCCCCCACTTACACACACACACACACACACACACGCGCGCGCACCACCCACTCGAACTCTCCTCTCCATTCCTTCTTTGATCAATATGCATCGTATTATCACCTCCACATAAAATTACAATATTATCACGCCAACCATCATGTGCATTCTTTAAGATGAAGACAGTATTATTTCTTTGGAAGATCGTATATATTTCCAGCAACCCACTCCTACAAGAAGATGGAGTTAAATATGCCAAGTACCTCTAGGGTGATGTTACATCTCCGATAACTCAATTGCTATCTTATATTAGTCTTTAATAATACCATTATCTAGTGTTTTTATATTCTGTGAGATGGAAGCTATTTAAGAATGGTGAGAGAACAGTTATTAACTATAAAAGCGTGTGACCGTGTACTTGTTCGGTTATTAACTGGCGAGTAGTTTGTAATAGAATTACTATAGTACTATACATCCTAAGGTCGTTTTGTTAGTACCACATAAAACATTACTAGATCATTACTTAAGCCCTGTGCTTCTTGGCAGAAGTAAAATATTTTAGAACGGCAATGATATGTAGGGTCCATGACTGTGGGATTGGGAACTAAGTTGGTGGACACTCATCTCTTGCATACAAAACATGGTGAAATAAAGATCCAAACTGCTTCCATTTCATTCAATTCAATGAGAAATGTGTACAATGAGGACTTATGGAATTTGTTTTGCATACAATTGGTTACTAAGATGATATGCTGAGCCAGTGACTGTTGGATTGGGAACTAACTAAGTAGGTGGACACGCATCTCTTGCTTACAAAACACGGTGAAATAAAGATCCAAATTGCTTCAACTTTCAATTCCATTTCATTTAATTCAATGCGCACAATGAGGAGTTATGGAATTTGTTTTGCATACAATTGGTTACTAATAAGTGCAGGAGGACCGCACTACACGTAAAACAAAAATCTTCAAGATAAACCTGCGGACAAGACAGAAAATAGACATTGCACCAAAGATGTTACCAATAGCCTAATGTTTTAAACTGACGTCTTGGTAACGGAGACGTGGGTGGCAATACAAAGCTAAACATAAACGGAATCAATCATGAAAATCAGGGTAACCAATCACAAATCAGCTATGGACGATACCATTTGCATTATTTGATGATCAAATGCCAGTTGTATTGTAGAACAACTGGATTAATATTGATCACATCACTTCCATCAATAATTAACTTATATAATGTACAGAAAGGTCAAAGAAACATTACGCGGTCCATAGTTTCTATCAACAGCTACAATTTTTTTTATACAAAACTCGATAATTACATATATGACACAGTTCTACACAAATAGTTACTATAGGTTAGAAACCCTTTTAACAGAATGATGGGCGATGATAAGAAGTGTGAAAATGAAACATAGCTACGAGTGTTCGATCATTGTGCATGGGGGTTGGATGTTCGAATGGTTGTATCATAGGATCTGTCATTGAGTCAAGTGGCGTGGTTTCGACTCTCCGCTTGTACGAGCCTGCCAAAGCTCGTGGGTTTTCTCCGTGTCCTCCTGTTTCCTCCCACTGCTAAAGACCCCTACGCGCAAGCAAATTATTGAAATAATATTGAACCATATGTTAGTCCCGAAATGACCTAGTTTGTGTCCAGTAGGCGTTAATTTATTAATGTCTAGTTTGTAGACAATAAAGAAATAGGTTCGTCTTGAAATTATAGTTATGGCACAGTAGATGTTCGCCAATAATGCAGGATGCTGGTGCAATAAGGTACACAAGTAACATCTCACAAAATATGCCAAAGATAGTATTTTGCATATTTTTGGACCAGAATGCTAAAACTGACATATCTTGTGATAAGAGGATTCAGAATGATAAAAATGAACAAGTTGTTAAAAATGGATTCATGTGAAAAAATCAAATGATCCTATTTAAAGAAAGTTGATTTTGTAAAAAGGAAATACAACATAGTTTTGACGCATTATCTATAATATCTATTATATTGTCTTAGAAGAGGCAAACAGATAAATTGTAAATTGGTTCTTAATTTACATTATCGTCGTTGTTCGGAAATGCATGGTGTAGTCTATGGTGATTTAAATTGAAAACATGAATTGTTTGAAATCTTGAGATCAATTAGCTTTTCATTGAAAATAAAGGATATTATGACAGGTTTGGTTTATTGCTTTATTAAGAATTTTGGCTGGCCGGTTAGGGAATTTACATATCATTCCTTTGCGAACATGTTACCAGATAGATCGAAATTCTGTGTCTTTTGGGAGGGAGAATGGGGGAATCGTCCTGGCTCAGGATTGTCAGAAATCAATCTTTATGCAACACGAATTTTCTGAACGGAGAATCAATAAAATATATTTCGCAGTTTACTCTGGATAATAAACTGACAACTGGATTGTTAAAACTTTCAACTGATAAATCAGGAATGCTTTTACCTGAAAATCAAAGAACTTCATCTCTAGGAACATATACTATTTTCATTTGCTAAGAGTTCAATTGATAGATCTCTAAACTATTTCTAAGTTTTCTTGATAAAATCCCCAATTTCTTCATATTAATATGCAAAGGCACTATAAATCACTTACACCTCGGTAACTAGGTGAAATATTGTGATTTCTTTTATGTTTTTTCCTTTGCGTTTTCAGTTTAATTCCTGTCCCGGTTTTAAGTTTTATATAATTTCGATAAACTAGAAGGCGCCATAACTATAATATAACAGCTTACAGCCTGGAATAACAGATGGGATAAAAAAAAGGGTAATTTAATTGATTTTTGTTATTTCTTTTTCAGAAAAATAAATTAGCCGATATGGCGAAAACTAAGAGAATAAACAGAAACTTTTATGATATAGTTGAAAAGGCAAAATGGTAAATATTTATTTTATTCCTTTTTTCTGTGTATATTTATCTTTTGATTCGTTTCTTTTTGTTCTGTTTTCACGTTTAACAATAATATTTCCATTAGTAAAATAGATGGAGAAAATATTTAAGTCATGTTTCTGAATTAAACTTTATCGTGTTAGAAAATTGAAAATTGTTGCATTAAACCCAATATTTGATACATCTAGACACATAAACAGTAGTTGCGTAAATATATTCACATTTAGGACATTTTATAAACATGTTTTAATTGTGCAAATTGGCATCCTTATACTAAAACCACATTTGATATTACAGTTATGATATTTTATCTTTGGTAGATAAATTTCGAAACATTTTCATTAATACTATTACTAAATATTACTCCATCAATCCGTTTATTCATCAGTTGTATCTTTTATTATTTCCCAATATGTTTGTAATAATTGATACCTTTTGTAAAATGTCTGTTTTTATTTAATAGTATTTCACAATTTTAGCAATTAATATTCAACACTTTAAAGTTGAATGTTCATTTACTTTTACATTTCAAAGGAATCTTTACGCCAAACAAAAAGTTATTCACGATGGAATGTTTCAGATTCATCTACTAGACTAATTATGAAGACCAAAAGTAATTTCAGGGAGCACGTTTTGATTGAAACTTAGTTCTTATCATTTCAAATTAAATAGATATGAACTCTTTACTTTTTCTATAATGCGTTTTTAATTATATTTGGTCTTTAGATTTGTTTTGAGTTTACAAAGTGGATCATTTGTCTACATTGAAAATGTATATCTGCCGATAGAGAGTCAGTGTTGATTAATACCAGTAACTGATTGCCGTCAATGGTCAACAATTTAAGTAGACAAACCGATTTCAACTTAATCTGTGGAAACGACAATTTCATTGTTTAGGGGTTGTCATATCTCTAATCAAAATATCACATCAATGCAATCAAATTTAATACTTTATTTTGAGACCTCAAAATAAAGCCCCATGCGCCTTTATCTCTCTTATTTGGATTGCGTTCTCCCAAACTGATTCCGGTCCAATTTCAAGAAGCCCTTTACATCTGAAATCCGAGACAATATTTTGATACATAAACTATTGGAAGTAAAGATTCCTTTTTATTATTGGCTACGCCCACAATGAAATGGGGTTGTAGCTCGTCGTCAACCCCGTCAGTGCATCATCCACAATTGCTCTTCGAGATCCGATTAATTACTCTCGATCAATTAAAAAAATATTTTTGATGCTCTAGAGACCAAAATTGGCATCCAACTGACTTGAAATTGATACATAGGGTTAAGGTTCATGAGTCGAAGCATCCTATTCATTTTTATACGTCCACATTGAAATGTGGTCGTATATTGTCGTCGCGCCCGTCGGTCTGTCGGTCCGTCGGTCCGTCGTCCACAATTGCTTGTGGACGCCCTAGAGGCTAAAGTTAATATACGATTGACTTTAAATTTATACACAGTGTTTGAGGCCATGAGACGAAGAAGTTTTTTCATTTTCAGCGATTTCCGATAATTACTGCCAGAGTTATGGCCCTTGATCATTTTGAAAAATCTTGTGACGCTCTAGAGGTTAAAGTTATCATCCGATTGACCTCAGATAGGCCTACACAGAGTTTAAAATCTTGAGACGAACAAATATATTGATTTTCAATGAATTTTTATGACTTGAACAGCTAAATCCATGATATTAAAAGTTTCGTATACTAAACGTTAGCATGGGACAGAACTTTATAAAAACCAAACAAATTCTAATGGTTTTCTGATAATTATTTCATGAGTTGTTACTCTTAATCAGATTTTAGTGTATTATTTTAATGTTTCATTACCGAAGAAAGTAAAAATATGCGACAACACTTGTTGACTGACTGGTCGATTTAGCTGCTGTGGGCGTATGCTTCGTTGCCTGGCAACCTATTTTTATGTTTTGTATTATGCGCAAGGAAGAACTAGAAGCTAACCATGTTTGTAATTATTTCTGATAATAACTTCACAGGTTGTCGCTCTTGATTAGTTTCCGTCTCCAGTAAATACTCTCTAACTATTTAGCTGATGTGGTGGATGTTTTGTTCCCTGGCAACGTATCTTAATAAATTTCGGTTTTATTTATCCTCACTAACTTTTTTAAAAAACAAAATCAGAATGATAGCTTTATATTTTCCTACAAGATGTTTTGATACTTTTTTTTCACAGCCGAGATGATAACGACGGTTCAATATTCAACAGGTAATAGGTGGAGTATTAGTATTGAGCGATTTCCTTGATCTACTTATTCTTACGTCTCGTCCATGTCGACAATCATCGGATCATCATGTCATAGATGTGCAAAAGTAGCGTATACTTTTAATAATGAAATGCATTCCTTCGAGAAAAAAAACACCACACCTAATTACAATTTCCATTTGAGATGTTCAACAGGTTTCAGACCTTTGATGTTGGGCCAGAAATGATAACGTATGACGTGGCATACGGTATTTTATAATAGCTGTGACATGATTTTCTTATGAAGGTGGAAATGAACCAGACTAATCATCCTAAGTGTTTTATTATCCAGTCACATATATGTATTACTATATTCACTGCTTCAAATAATGTAAAACAGCTTCGTCTTGGTACACCGACTTAACAAAATGTCTATTACGAAGGAAGATATTTGTACCTGTAGAGTTTATGTATATTTTAACAATGTTGTAAACCTCCATGTACAATACTAGTAAGGGTAGAAAAGCTACGATTGTACCTACAGAACGAAAGCATTAGGCTTTTATCGTTGGTGTATGTACAATGCAATGCACATGGTCGATTCTACAAGATTTATTTGACAACCAAGAGCCCATACCTCATATAGAAAGAATAACGACAACAGCTTTCTTCGCTTTCCGCCGCCATCGTCAAACCACTGCTTTAAAGCAGGGCGCCATTTATGGTCTTCCCTGGTTCTATAGATGTCTATTGCACATTAACTGAACGCTAACTGTTGCACGCTTTAAATATTTCTACATCCGTAAACCTGACTCCAGAAGACTTAAAGTAAAACCAAATTGTTGTGATGCACCTCCTCAAATTGAAACTGTTGCAATGCTTTGACAATCCTTGGGCAGCATGTGGTGGCAACTCTAATAGTTATCGTTGTTTATCCCAATTACATTAACATTTGACAAGGTCTTTTATGTGTACGGGGGTGAATTGTTTAAACCGTGCGCAAAGATAGTCAGGTCTGTCGTTGAATCAAATGGCGTAGTTTCGAGTCCCCGCTTGTACCATGCTCCGTATCCCCAGTGGTCTCATTCCGTTCAACCATCGGGTTTTCACGTATTCAAGTTACCTGCCCTTGATCGTAGATTGATTCTACAAACCAATCAAGCCTCATTATTGCTTACGTTCACAACAATATAGCGGCTTCTTCGCTCGATTATGAGAAAGTTTGCAAGAAATTTGATATAAAAGAAGTGACATGCACACAAAAAGATCTCCTAAAACATCCTTTTTTGATGGGAAAGATGTTTTATGTCAGTTTTTTTCATGTATTTAACTACTTTTTGGATTGGTCGATAAAAATAGTACAATCATCAAGGGCTGATAATTTGAATATGTGTCTCCCCGTTGATGAACCCAGGGGTTAGTGCAGTAGAACGCAATGATACCGTTGGGGTTACCGAGGATACGCTTGGTGGAGATTTTTTCATACTTTTTTTGTGAGTAAAGTATAAAAAACAGTAATTGAATAATAGATTTCTCAAACGGATTTCTGTCAGGTGTTCATACAATTCCTCTTATAATCATTTCAGAGTAACACATTGTAAAAACGATATTGTATGGATGTAGTAGTATCAAAAGTTTGGGAAATATTTAAGATCTTCTTCAGCAAGTTGTAGCTAATTAGAGTTGTTTGGTTATTTTTAAAACATTGGCTATTTTCAGGTTACATGAAATGAGGGAGATGAATTTAATGGATGATGGAGACGACGATCCACCACCCACCATAATAGAAATACCTTTAAAAGATCTCGGTGCTAAAATAGATTCAATTTTACCCAAACCGGCTGACGAGTTTGTTGATCATGTAACGATCGAAGACGAGAATTCCCATTCACGTGAACTTTTGTTGTTAGAGGATCCAGACAGGAGTTTAGCTTCACAGTGTCGGGGTACTGACAATAGTAGTACTTTATCAAATAGATCACTGGAGCGGTTGTTCAATGAAGACAACCCTTCAAGTTCCTCTTCATCTCCAGTCACCCCGAACAATGCAACTACGTATAAAACTCTTAATTACTGTAGCTTACCAACAGCTTCCGGCGCGCGCTTTTTAGAAAGCTTACCAAACGGACATATATTTGGGTGTGGTTTCGAACCCTGCGGCTCTGATAGTGTTGCTAATAATCGAATCGAGACACCTAGTGTTTTGTTTAAAGCGTTAACGGACGACAGTCATAATTTTACATCTAGCACACATTGTAAATCATTGTTACCTAAAACAAATAACATGGTTCGATCTCTTCTCCATAAAACTCAGTCGTATCAAGATCACTTGTGTTCTGTGGATGATGCCGTGCCGGGGACTTTCAGTATCGAAAAGATTACAAAAGAAGAACTGCTAATTATGTGGAAAACGTCAGAAATTGAGCTGAGTAAAAAACTGGAACAGGCTTTGCGAGAAAAGGCCAAATTAGAACGAAAGTTAGCACAATTACAGCACCATTCACCTGTTTGAGACAAGCACCATTTTATAATTGGTCCATTTTTGCACTCGACACTGTTTGATTCCAGTTTGAGTCCGATTGAGAACGCGGCTACTTGACATGCCCAGTGGATGTTTGTGGCAGGCAGCCATGATGATTTAGCAATATTTGCTTTCTCAGGTTTGGAATAACTTGATGGAATTCTGTTTGCACGTCCATGCGCAGAACGTCTTTTAAGCATACGCATCCTCAATGTTCATCTTCTTACGATTTCTATCTCGAAAAGATAGAATTTAGAGGATACTGATTTAGATATTTGTTTGTTTCATGGAACATTTGGGTAATATATATATATAACTGTATGATGTATGGTTCTGACAGATTTATTTGATTACCATATTTATTAGAGTGAATTACATGTGTAACTAATTTCACACTATGTGGATATAGTATAAACAGTGGTTTGTAAAATTGTCTTTTTTGTTTGCGTATAAAAGCAAGGCTTAAAGAATAAATGAAGGGAGTAGATGTACTGTTTTAGAGCATGGCTTTAACCAGAAATAGCACACATATAAAGGACTGATATTAAAGGCTAAAAGAAAAATATAGGCCTTCAGACCATGTGCAATAAATAGTAATTTTACCGAAATATTGGTTAAAATCGACCAACCCTAAATTATTCCTATTAGGTTAACTTCTATTAAATTCCACGCCGCCATATGTATTGTTGTATAATCCCAGTCAACTATTATAGGAGGACATTTTTCTGTTCATAAAGATCAAGGTCAAGGTGATAGCAAACCTTGATAAAAATATAATCCAATAAATTACTATCTATTTTTGTCAAATTTAAATAAAGAAAACGTTTATTGGCCATATTATTGGGTTTTTTTTAAGGAAAGTATTCACTCCTTTCATTTGTACTTCCGGTCATGCGTTGGCCAAAAGATGTAATTATACCATGTTTAGAAAGTTTTTTCGCCCTCAGATGGGCAGAATTTTACCTAATCAATTTACTTGATTTCGTTAATTGGTTCTTGAGACTAAATGTAGTGTAGAGCTATATATCTGTCAAACATCTGTAGATGTTCAATCTGAATGAAAATAGACTTTGGTCAGCACCTAGTTCAACCAGTCAGTGATCATCATGAACCGGTTCACTCTCATCAATTGTTTTGACTTGACCTTCGATTGTAACCTTCACTCTGGACTCAGAATGATCGAATTGTAGTCTATAACCCCCACTATACACGTGAAGCCATGACCAAGTGTCTGTTATTTCAACAAACCCTACACCCACAGAGATAACTTGTCAAGAAGTTAACATATGACCACCAATATCCTTACCGGCCATGTAGCAATAAAACTCTTCATCTCGATTCTTTCCCTCGTTTTTACAGTGTACATGGTGTTTAAGCATAAGGGGTTATTACTGTAAATTATGAGTTGGATCGAGATTTCGTGAAAACTGACAAAGATAATATCCTCTTATCCGTTATGCCAATTCGAACTATTCCTAAAAGTTAACTGATAATTAGGTATTTGTTTCCAGAACCTCACGTAGAAAAACTTTCAATCCTGAATTTAAAACATGTTCGTGTATGGTTATAATTATTTGTGTCTTTCCCTTTTTTGGAATTCTGAGCATGGTATAAATATATCTCTACGCATCTTAATGTAACGTCATAGACGAAAATGGAATGTTGCCATATACAAATGTGTTAATGAGTGAACTGAAATAATGTGAAATGATTATGTGTTGATACAACCCCAATGTCCATGGAATATTTTTCGAAGCAATGTGAGATTAATTTGTTATCTCGTGGAATGAGTTTATTAGACTGTAACGTGGTTAAATATGTTTCATTTTCTAGTGAATTGTGATATTAATTAATAAATCTAAAAAATTAAAACCGTTTGTTAAAAATGTACGTTCATGTGTTTTATGTAACTGAATATTCATAATTTATGTAAATTAAAATTAATTGATAATCTAGGTGAATAAATTATGGTAATTGTTACCATATATGTATATTTAATAGATTCCTAGATAAGGTAAATAATTGTGAATCTAGAACGGGTATTTCAATTATCACCAACTTTTATCATCTTTTGAAATTTGATTATTACTTTCTTCATAGATAGCATTAAGGCAATCTAAGTAAAATATAGATGCAATTGATTTTTGTAAAATTATAATTCAATTTTTTGTGTTACCATATACATAAAACCCTTTTTCCAATTCGTAAAAAAAGTATCAAAAATATTCCAGTTATGATCTATGTAATATTTTGAATGATTTGGATTAAGTTTTAGATTTCAAAACTATTATATATACCTCATATGTTATTCTCTTAGCGGCATTTAGTAAATATAACACATACTTATGAAAGAACAATTAAAAATCTATTTTGGTGACTTTTCGAGGAGTATTCTTACAAATCTTTTCAATACGGCACAATAATAAAAGTGGAGGGCAATTATATACATATAAGCAATAACAACAATTATATAATTGCGCTATACATTTATTATGGTACATGCTTGGAAAGGCTGGGAGAATGCTCTTCGAATTGTCGCCAAATTAAATTAGTAATTGTTTTTCCATAAGTATGTGTCATAGTTTATTGCTCTAATATATACTCTTCAAAAAAGTAGGGGATATTGAAATGCAAATACCTATGCAGGTTGTGATATGATAAATAGTCATGGACACTTGACATGCTTTGGGAGTATGGTCACAGATGAAGAACTTATCGCCCCAACAGAACCACTGAGCTGCACATGCGACACGCAATAGCGCCATACACGTGGGAGGGGTTCATTGTCAAATTTGAAACTGCAAGAGGAGTGGGTCAGATTGCCCCAAATCGTGATTGGACGGTTGAGTAGGAGCGTGCCACAAAGAATTGATGAATGTCTGAGAATTGGTGGAGCAATTACTTATTATTAAGACAAAAATCGAAAACGCCCATTTTCACTTTTGACGGTGTATCTCTTTGAGAGTGAAATGGGGCGGTCAGATAAGCCGCCCATATGAACCGTTTATTTTCATGTGTAGGCAATTGGCCTGTTATAAAGATACACTGGTTACCTCTAATAAAAACAGCAGTGCATTTTTGCAGTTTTGTATTGTTTCTGATTATCCCCTACTTTTTTGAAGAGTATATTATCATTCGTTAAATTTGACTGTTTGAATAAAAACAAATAGTGATAGCGGTCATTCAAAAACATTGTCTCAATTAGTATATTTTCAAATTGTTTTAATTGCTTTCGAAATATTACATTCCAGTGTGTTATAATTAAATTTTAAGTTCTAATTCTTATATTATTATGATTATAAAGCAATTAATTATACGGAGAATATTACTGATGTTTATATTTTATCATAATTAAAAAAGCTGTGCATGTTTAGCTTTTTAAACATTATATTTTTCTTATCTTGGTCATCGATTTGTGGCATAACTTGACCTTTAGTATTTTTAAAATCGTGATATTATTATTATGAATGATGGAATACTATACATCACATATGGTTACTTAGTATTGGTTACAATCGATTTCAACAGATTTAAGTTTTGCGAAAATTGACCAAAGACAGAATAGAAAATGAGCTTTAAAGACCGGTCCAATAATCCATTTATTTCATCCTGCTATTTTTAATTTCTTGTTATTGCTTGTTGACATTTCAAAGATAACAAATGAAACTTACATTGTACCAGTCTCAAATTCACTGACATATTATGTTCCTTTTAGGGGCGGATCCAGGAATTTTTGCAGGAGTGGGTTTGCCAGGTGCTGTTAAGGCAGTTTGATAGCTGGCAATGTATGGTGCCACCACGCCACCATAGTCTCCAAATTACGTAGGCATGCATGCAGATTGATTTTTTTAAAGAGAGAAATCCAACACCCCGTTTGACGTCAATTTTTATTGTGAATTAATTTCATTGATGCAAAGCATTAATTGTGATATCTCGCCTTTTTACTGCCCATCCCATCCCATCCTACCATCTGATGATAAAGGATAAAGCACACGACCGTGACACTTTTCTCATAAAAAGTGTTGCTTTACCCCCAAATCCCCCCCCCCCCTGTCTGGATCCGCCCTACCTTTGCAATACGTGTTTAATATTAAAGATCCACAAGATAGTCGGTAATTCTCAATACATCAATCACACTTGATCCTACACCGCACGTTTTCTGTCGCCGGACAAAATGTTATGTCTAACATGGTTAAAATCAGGCCATAACAAGGGCCTTGTACTATTTTATTCTTCCAAGTACACTTTTAGATAAATATATTTGCCTAATTAACCAAATTATGTGTTAAAATTTCATGACAACTCCAACACAGTGTTTGATATTTGAACTAAGGAATGGCATGTTAGGGTGACACAACTCTGTCCATCTTTAAACCCGTAATGGAAAAATATTTCTTTTTTCCGCGTATATTACATTGTGGTTAATTAAAGATACATTATGGAAGATATTCTCACTATAATAGTTAAAAACTAGATAATGTAAAGGCAATTGGCTGAAAATCTCATTCAAATTGATCCACTATCAACCGAGAACTAAGCGATTGAAATTTCTGCCTAGCCTCGATCATCATTACTATAGTCAGTACGATAAACAGCATAGTCTCGATTATCCATTTAATCGTTAAATCGTGATGGAAAGTTATGCAGTAAATCGGCTCATAATCCACTAAAGTTCGCAGGCCAGCGATGCCATCTAGAACTGATTATTGACTGGATAGGTTAATTAATGTCTAATTAATAATTTAGATAACATTTCCGGCCTAAAGAAAGACCTGCAATAGACAGATTTAGCTCTTGCATAATGTATGTTTAATTCATAGAATCTCCTTTTACCAGTTTTATATAAGCTAAACTGTTATTTTGGAACCATAATTAATGTCGCCAAATAAATCCATAAATGTTGACAATTTTGAGAATATCAGAATATTATATGAAATTCGAAATACACAAGAAAAAGTATCGCATCATCCGAATGTTTGTGCACTCAAAATAAAATTATTCACGTAAATACATATTATATTTGAAAGGGAAATTAAAATTTTGACGTTTGACATATTCTGTCCAACATGCATACCGGTGAAAGCTGCTAGTAGTAACAGTTAGAGTCTCAATGGCCAACGGTACCAAACAGAGATCGCTGACAGGGTTGTAATGCCCCATGACTTTAACAATCTTTATGGGGGACAACGCTAGACCACATCGTCCACGTGCCGTTGTTGATTTTCTGTGCCAGGAGGCCGTTACTACACTACTTATGGCCAAAAAGAATCCCTGGCCTGAATCCAATTGACCTATCAGGGATATTTTTGGGCGTAAAATCCGTCAGAGGCATCCACCATTGCATAATCTTGACGATTGGGAGCAGATGCTACACGGGGAATGGAACAGCCTAACGCAGTCTCAGCTCAGACCTAACGCCTCATTCAGTCAATAAGGAGGAGATCGCATTCAACAAGTGATTCAGACTAGCGGAAGCCACACCAGATTTTTAACATGAAATGAAATGAGCTGAACTGTCAAATTTCCTATTGATGTGTACCGGTCATAGTTGTTTGTGGTTCCATCCATTTTCCGCCTTTAAATACCTCCCAGAACGTAAACTATCGAACATACCACTAGCACTATATTCAAAACGGTTTGTTGCAATACTCCTTCTCTGTGTATATAGAAGGTGCCATGCGTGACAAACTAAGGTATATACAATCTAAGTAATATTAAGGTCTGTTTAAACATTTCGCAAGCTAAGAAATAGTGATTATGGAGTACCGTTGACGGAACAATTTATTGTCGCCCACCCTTATGGCAAAACAGGGTGTGTGTGTGTTCGGGGGGGGGGGGCTATTAACTTGAATCTATCCGTCTTTTCGTCCTTCCATCACACACTCTGATACACAATTACTTTATTTCTGGTAAACGGATTTTGAGAAAACCGGGTATATACTTTTATTAGCACAAACCCGCGCTCGTGAGACACTCTAACTTTATTTCTGTTGAATAGGTTTTGAAATATACAGTCGTTATAACAGCCATGTTCGAATATGAGTGATATACCGGTATATTGCATTGGTCTATTGTAATTTAATTTGCAGTGCAATAACTTTACTTTTAACAGTCATCAACTAAATATGGAATTGTATTCGTCATAACGATAAATGCCACCTCCACATATTTTATTAGATGATTGATTGATCATTTAAAACGCAATAACTGTACTTTTCGTTGGCTGATTCTATAGAACTTCAAATAAATATCCATTTTATTACGCCACTCACGCTCACATAATATAGGCAAACACCTGTGACACATTTGCATATATTCAATGAATTTTCTGACGTCAGATTTGTCAACCCTATGAAATTACATAACTGTGCTGTAGATATTAACTAAATTACGAATACATTGTCGTAATAACAGTCCCAACATCAAGACCATCTGCACATATTTAATTACACCAATTCAGTCTGATTGGTAAGCGTTGGTGTCTGTTGCATTCACTAAAACCAGTTCTTCCCGACGGAATCAACGTGTGTATAATACTGTAATAGTCGAGATAAAATATTAAATATATCAGAATATCTGCACAAGCTACCCTTAATAAATGAAATGAAATAGAAAAGCATAAGTCACGTGTTAGGTGTTTTTTGGTGAATACGACTTATAAAGACAACAGAAAAACAACATACAATTAGTATTTTAATCATAAGATTATTTCATATCTTATTTTATTGTAAACCTTTTGGCGATATTGTATTATAATATCAATTACATTATTTGGAACTTGTCCGTTTCCATTTTAACTGTCTTGAAGAAATTATTTCCGCTTGTTACACCTAATAAACCCCACTACTAGTTTGGTAATCAGCTCCAATCAGCGCTGTCCATCTACGTAGTAATTGTGTTGTCAATATCCTCAAATCACATTCACTCATACCGCCTGGGTGTACCTAGTAGTATATATAT